TATGATAAACAGTGGAAATTGAGATTGAGTCATGATAAAACAATGACCTCAAAAGTCGAAAGTGACAAAAATTCACATGTGTAGGATAAAAAAAATCATAATATTAATCATAATTATGACTGTCAATTTCGACTTTTGATGGCATAATTATGAGAAAAAGTCAAAAAAATGTATCATAATTATGACATTTTATCATAATTTTGACTATTTATTTCATAGTTTTGATTTTCTATTTAATTTATAACTGTCAATTTTTGACCGTTATCACATCATTTTGACTGAGTATGTAATAAATATGACTGAATTATGACATCTATTATGCGTCGGAAATGGCTCTCCATAGGGGAGAGTAATCATACACCTCTCCAGGCCAAATGTTTTGAGGTATAATTCATGTCTGTAGCATAAAGAGTTGCTGTCTGGATTAAAACGTGGGGGGAAAGGGCTTACTAACAGTTGTCTCTGCAATATTAAGATGGAATACAGTTTCTAAAGGACACATTTCACCTTTAAGGATCTGATCATGTCATTACCGCCCCACAAGGTCATGCTACAATGTTGATGGCATAAAAGGCATTTGATTGTCCCGTCTTGAGCTTATTGAGAGACATTCTCCATTGGACAATGACTCTCTTTTCATCAAGAGGATAAACAAACTGACAGAGGCATCAAAACGGCTTTAAATCTAAACTCGTCCGTGCTTTAAGGTAATAATTCACACAAAAATTAATATTAAGCGATCATTTAAACACCCTCGTGTCATTTTAAATATATATCTGTTGTTTTAAAGTAGTATGGAGATTTTTTTTTAGGGAAAACAAATAACGGCATGGATGAGGGTGAGTAAATAATGGCAATTTTTATTTTAGATGAGTTTTTCCTTTAACACGGTAGGAAATCTGATGCAAAATGAATTCACTCCTTTGAATAAACATTAGCTTTAATGTGTGGCATTATCACACTGTAAACTAGTGCACTTCACAAACAACTCTTCAGAATGATTTGTTCAGCCATAGCTTATTTTTAAATTAAATAACCGTAACAAGAATTATTCTCTTTTTTTCCTCTCTCAAAATCTTATTTTCACATCATGCCATAAAATATTTTCTATAAATTGAGAAAGATCTGTTCACCTTCCTGGCCTCCATCCATTCAATACTTTCAATTATGCAATAAATTTTAAGTATTTTATTGTACAAACCTAATATTAGTTATTTTGTATTCTAAACACTTTTTTTTTTTTAAATCATCTTCGCCTGACGGAAACGGAATGCTTCGTTCGCAGTAACTTGATGCATTTCAAAGTGCATTTCATCAGAAATCCCTGCATAATCCCAAAGATAATGTAAGACTTTAGTATCTCAGAGTTTCATAAGACAGAGTTTGACCATTTTCATCATCTTAATCTGGTTTAAAAAGTTAAATCTGTTATCTAACTACTTTATGTCTTCTATCTGTCTTTTTAAAGCAAATGCAGATAGATATGATATATCATTTTCTTGTTAGTGTCATGGAAAAAAACAACCTTTATGTCTCCACTAAAAACTTGGAGATATGTTGTAAAAACATCATCTAAGGCTGTGTTCAGAATAGCATGCTAACATACTACTATGTATGCAGTAAATGTGTGTATTTAATGCACTGTATCCAAAAACACAGTGCGCCGAAAGTGATATGAGGACAATTTAGTCTTTCTTGACTCACCAAATGTTAAAACATATATGAAAATATGTAAATGAACCTTTTAAAAAACGTAGCTAGTATATACTAAGCAATATTCAGTAAGTAGTAAGCAAGTATTCCATTGGGAACACAGCCATAGACATGGCACCAGATAGCCCCGCCCCCTTCAGTGCTCAGGTAACGATTGGTTACGGTTCTGTATAACATCAGCCAATGGAAAAGTGCAATTATGTTGAGGAAATGTATTGTGTTCACAACTTAAATATCATGGTTTTGGTTTTGTAAGCAAAGGCAAATGAACAGCACACATTTTAAGAGCCGTTTTCATGCTTTCACCAACTCTTTAAAAGCATGAAGTATGTGTACGAAAACGCAACAGTATTATTTTCTCTTTTACAGTACATTGAACTCTTACAAAACCATAAACCAGCGATGAAAGCTAAAAAAAACATGCTTTTATCAAACATTTAGATATACACTTACTTCAGAACACTAACAGCAACAATCTTTTTTCAGTTTTCTTTTTTGCACCACGAACACAGATACATAGAAAAGTTCTATCCACATTTCTGCTCAAAACTAGAACTTTTGAAATGACAAGAAAGCTTGCACGAGCCTAAGATCAGGAATATACTTCACGCTAGTATGTAAACGCAAATATTTGACCAACGTTTTGCAAGCTCTGATTACTCCCACAAATTAAAGGGATAGTTCACCCGAAAATGAAAATGATCCCGTGATTTACTCACCCTCAAGCCTAGGTGTATATGACTTTCTTCTTTCAGTCGAACACAAACAGAGTTACAGTAAAAGATATCCTGGCTCTTCCAAGCTTTATAACGGGAGTGAGTAGAGCCTGAGATTTTGAAGCCCAAAAAAGCGCATCCATCCATCATAAAAGTAATCCATATGGCTCCAGGGGGTTAATAAAGCCTTCTGAAGCGATGCGTTTGTGCAAGAAAAATATCCATATTTATAACTATATAAACTATAATCACTGGCTTCCGGTAACGGCCGTACGCGAGTCGAGTTCCGGCGGAAGAGTGAACCTTTAAAGGGATACTCCACTTTTTTTGGAAATAGGCTCATTTTACAACTCCCCCAGAGTTAAACTGTTGAGTTTTACCGTTTTTGAATCCATTCAGCCGATCTCCAGTTCTGGCGGTACCACTTTTAGCATAGCTTAGCATACATCATTGAAGTGGACAAGACCATTAGCATTTCTAAAAAAAAAATGACCAAAGAGTTTCGATATTTTTCCTATTTAAAACTTGACTCTTCTGTAGTTACATCGTGCACTAAGACCGACGGAAAATGTAAAGTTGCGATTTTCTAGGCTGATATGGCTAGGAACTATACTCTCATTCCTGCGTAATAACGGCAGTAAAGTTTCTTGATTATTACGGAATGAGAGTATAGTTCCTAGCCATATCAGCCTAGAAAATCGCGACTTTACATTTTCCGTCGGTCTTAGTGCACGATGTAACTACAGAAGAGTCAAGTTTTAAATAGGAAAAATATCGAAACTCTTTGGTCATTTTTTTTTTTAGAAATGCTAATGGTCTTGTCCACTTCAATGATGTATGCTAAGCTATGCTAAAAGTGGTACCGCCAGAACTGGAGATCGGCTGAATGGATTCAAAAACGGTAAAACTCCACAGTTTAACTCTGGGGGAGTTGTAAAAGGAGCCTATTTCCAAAAAAAGTGGAGTATCCCTTTAAGATTCGTTCATCATTTACACGTCATTCCAAACGTGCATGACTTTCTTCTGCAGAACACAAAAGAAGATATTGTGAAGTTGGAATCCAAGCAACATTGGACCTCATTGAAAAAAAATATATTTTTCAAAATGTCTTGTCCTCCACAGAAGAGTGAGAGTCAAACAGGTTTGGAATGACATGAAGGTGAGTAAATCCAAGCAAAATGTACATTTTTGGGTGAACTATCCCTTTAAGTTCTCGTTCTGGAGGTAACGCAACTCAAGGTGGCGCTGGAATAACTTATTTTGCATTAAAAACAATGGGTCTCCTTCACTAAACGTGTGTACGCACAAATATGTTGTTTTTTAAAACGTTTTTCTGTACTAAAATCCGAAATTCACAAGAAAATTAACAACTGAAACTACATGTACGCAACAATCCCATACTCTTGAGTGGCCTTATAGTTGTGTTACGATTACATTTCATACGTAGAATTGTCCTCTTAAATATATTTCATCATATAGAACGAAAAAGTTGCAAGGTTTCTCTGTATAACAACGCAGATATGAGGATCTTATTGCACAAACTGTCTTTAGAAAGCGTCGTATGGTTGCTGAGAGTGACGAAAGGCTGTAAAAGAAAATGTTGTACGGAAAGCCCTTATAGGGAGATGTTTGGGCGTGTTTTATGCAAATGACTCACACAAAGGCCTTGTTTAAATTACGCCTGATATTAAGATTACGATTTGGTCAATCGGATCACAAGTGGGCGACATTTTGAGCTTGTCCACTTTCGACCACTTCCAGAGTTAGTCGAAAACCAATTCGACCGGATTGCTTTCGTAGTGTAAACGCTCATGTTGTCGAATGCGTTAGAACAGCCGAAAAATACCAGCTACTCTCCGTCTACGCATCTAACACATAAACATTATGGGAAGTGCGCTAGTCAGACGGGATTTAAACTTTGTCGGATTTAAACTAGAGACCCAAGTTTGGTTTGAAGATGAAAAACATACCAAGCACAATGTTCTCTCACCATTCCTGATTGATTTCTAAAAGAGACGGATTAAAACACCAGGTGTAAACAGCAATGCGTCCCACTCGTCTACTTGTGATCCGATCCACCAAAACTCATCTTAACACCAGGGGTAAACAGGGCCATAGTCGCTCATCTACACTCTAAAAACTGCTGGGTTGTTTCAACCCAACTTTGGGGCAAATATGGGCAAACCCAGCCGCTGGATTACATTTTTAAAAAACATTTTTAACCCAACGTTTGGGTTTGTCCATATTTGACCCAAAATTGGGTTAAAACAACCCAGCATTTTTTAGAGTGTAGAATACTCCAAATTCATTAACATTACAATGAGGTTGAGCTCAAATTGATGCGTGTATGCACATGTGTTGAATTAGGCATACAAAAACGAAATAATCCATGCAAATATTAGTGAATGAGACCCACTGTGTTTTTGAAATCTAGAAGCGTTTGCGTTTGCGTACTTACGTAGAGAATGTTTCAAACCTAACGCTTATCGTACACTCTGATTTTGCAGTTTAAATCGTTTTTTTTTGTCCTTTGCAAAGTTCAGTAAAAATACGTATTTTTGGATCCCCCCCCCAAACGTCAAACAGGAAATTTGTCAGAATGAAACATCGAAGGCTGCTTTTATACTCTTGCCGCTTTCTTAATCTAAACCGGAGTGGGTTCGGGGAAAGCGTCCAGTAAAGTAGGTCCTTTTGTGTTGTCCACTAGCGAAACGTCGGGCAGATTGCGAGACATCTCCTTTGGCTGTTCAGCTACGTAACAGTTCCCGTTGGCGTTGTAGCCTGTATCCTGCGTATTGTTGTTCAGATAGTTTTGGAATTCCATCTGGTTCAGCTCTCCTGATTGGCTGACGAAGGTCCCTTTGGATTGGACGCTTTTATCCGGCTCTGGGGCGCAACAGCCAATCACGGCCAAGTGGTGATTGGCGTATGGCTGCTCGGGCTGCTGGGAGAAGTCTGTGTATTGGTCAGCGGTCACATTGAAGGGACCCTGAGACATGACCCTACTGGAGTCATTGACTCTGTCTTGATAGGAGGCGGTGTCCCCTATGTAGGGCTCGTTAGATTGGTTGGCAGAGGCTAAAAGTACGGATGGACTAGCGTTTTCCATCGGGTAGTACTCCGCGGTGGAGTTGATGAAGTAGGAGTTGCCGTTTGTTTGGTTGTCCGACGCGACCGTATTCTCGGAGTAACACATCACGGAAGTGGGCGGAGCCACCTCGCTACTGGCCAATCCCGCGTCAAACTCCTCCGTCTTGTCTTCGTCCTCGTCGTCGTCTTCCTCCTCAGAGTCGCTATTGGCCAAGCTCTGTGTGCTGGAGTCAGACAGACTGCACAGACTGCTGCTCTCATCCTCGTCATCTTCGTTCTCCTCATCTTCATCATCTTCTTCGTCCTCCTCTTCGTCCTCCTCGTCTTCCTCCTCCTCCTCCTCCTCCTCGTCTTCCAAGGCCTCGTCTATGTCGTCGCCAGCCTGCAGATGCATGATGGTGGTCTGCGGGACTGTCTCCGGGATCGCGTATTCCAGTGAATGCTGGCCCGTCGCCATCGGGCTGCAGTGACCGTTTGGGTCGTTGTGGAATCCGTTGCCGACCGTCGAGACGGATCCGGGATTCTGCTGCTGCTCACGACTCTTCTCCAGCTCCAGCTTCATGATGGTGTGCAGAAAGTGAGTCCGCACTCGGATGGGGTTAAACTCGATCCTGCCGGCTGCGTTGCTGCAGCCCTCTTTTGTGCAGCCACACGGGAATGACATACGGTCCACCTGTGGACATCCAAGAACACTTGAGCACAGGCCAGTTTAGGATGGTTTGAATTACACACAGCAGGAATGATCTAAATAAAGCTCCTCTCTCTTCTGAAGACTCAATGTACCGCATAAAATGTAACCAGCTGAATCTATGTCCGCTGTCTAACATCTTAATCAGTTTTAACAGGGCGTACCTCCATTAAACTTTAGACATCTTAATCATTTTTGCTTGTTAGTCTGCTATGCTAGATTTCTTTCATAGGCTTTGCTTTACTACAGTATAGGGAAGGAGGACCCTCTTAAAGGGGTATTTAAATCAAAACCTGATGTGGTTCTAACAACTGAATGAGTCTCATGAACATGTTGGGGTCATAGTTCACTTTAAAATAAAAAAATAAATTAAAAAAGCCTGATGAAGCCTATTTTAATGACAATTAAAGGTTGTTTTGCATTATTTTGATGACAATTAAGCACGTTTTACCTCTTCTGTGAAAAGTATTATTATTAATTATTACCTTAATCAATACCTTAAATTATATTAATGATCAATTTGTCAAATAAATCAAATAAAAAGTATTCATATTAAAATGTATCATTTTAAAAATGTAAAAAAGATTACAAAATAAAAATAAATCATAATATTTTAATAGTTATGAGTAAATATAAAAATGATATAATTTAGAATATTTACATTGCAAAATGTTTATACATCATGGTCGTATTTGTCTTTAAACTAATTAAACAAAACGTCGTATTGCAAAATAGATATACTGTAAAAAATTAATAGTACATTAATGAGAATCTAATTAGAATCATCACTGAAAATCAAAAGTAAAATGTATGCATTATTACAGTAATGAAAATAATGTCACAATGCAAAAAAATCTTAATGGTTTAAAGAAATGAATTTATTTAAAAATGATAATAATGCTTTTTGAATGTTAATAGTACACATAAACATTATATAATATTTACATTGTAAAATGTAATTTTTTTCATAAAATGTAATTTTTTTCATAAAATAGATTGCATTTCCTTAAATCAATAGACATCCTTTATTTAATTAATCATTTTTATTGTGTGAGATTTTTGTTTGATTAACTTGAAATATTAATTTATTCGGAAGCACTTTATTTTACACTACTCTTTCCCATGTACATACTATGTACTTATTATAGTAATAGCAATAACTGGGTAATAATAACTAGGTACTAACCTTGAACCTAGCCCTAAACCAAACCTTAACCCATGTAGTTACCTTATATTAACCAGTACTTTCCTAGGTAAATACACGCAAGTGCACGTATACAGTAAAATAAAGTGCAACCATTTATTCAATTATTAATTATCATATAAATCATTAATTAACTAGAACTAGAATTCCTCAGCGGTGATAACATGTGTTTAACACGTGTATGTGTGTGTTTGCTCATCATACCTGACACTTGATGCCGGCGAGGCTGCATGTACAGGTCTCGGGGTCACAGAAGAGTCTGCAGTCACAGCCACAGTCTTCCCTGGACACCCTGATGGCTCGAAGCTCGTGTTTCTCCTCCACGTCCAGCTTCTTCACGCCGGATGAGCGCAGAAGAGTGCGTCGCTTCTTAGTGGTCAGAGGCTGAAGGAAGAAGTATTCGTCCACCTCTGTGTTATCAATGTCCAGGTCATCGTCAGAGATGTCGTCCAGCGTGAGAGCGTTGGCCTCGTCGGACTCCACCGCGCCGTTCTTCGTCAACTGAGGAGCATGCAAAAGGTCAAATTTCATGAAGACGTTCATTCACACAGCAATTTATCCAAGAGCAAACGTATGTTTTCTTTTTGCGTACCCGCAGCCGGATGGAGTTGAGTTTTTCCTCTTTTAAGTGGTCTCGGAGCATGTCTCTGTGGATCCTCTCCTGCTCCATGGCGAACTCTCCCAGTGTGTACTGGCGCACGCAGCTGTGCCTGCTGGACATGCCCAGTGTACTGCCACCCTGACTGGGCACGCTGGTGAATCCCTGCCGCCGGCTGAAGTAATACACCGTCACCTTCTCAAAGTGCACCCTCCTCGTCCTCATCCGCTTCTCTCGCTTCAGTATCGAGGATGCTAAAATTACAGTTTGGTTATTCAATTTGAAAGACACTAATATGCATCTTTCATGTGACAGCACTAGGATATAGGGCTGAGTGATGGATTAAATATTTACAATATTTGATTTTGTCGACGATATCAAATTTCCAATATTTTCAGAATTTCACAATGATTTATTTATATTAAATGTACAGTATGCATTTGGCAGATGCTTTTATCCAAAGCGACTTGCATTCAAGGTATACATTATTAGGTCATGCATGACCTGGGAAATTTGCCAAACATACACATGTAACATGCTAGAAACATAATAATCACTGCAATAATGATCCGATCACAGAATCTTAAGCATTTGCCTAATTAAATCCAAACGGCACCTTTTTTTTTTTGTCTGGGCAGTGTATATTCAGTATATAGCGGCTTTGATTTAAACCTAACTAAAGACCTGTCCATTCAAATTAATTTATTTAAAGTTATTCTGATTTAACAGTTAACTTGCATTGTCTTGGCACTTTCAGTGTTAGGGAAAGTTACTTTTAAAAGTAATGCATTACAAAATTGCTTGACTCCCTAAAAAGTAACTAACCGCATTACTTGTTTACTTTTAATGGAAAGTAATGCGTCACGTTACTTTTTTGTTACTTTTTCTCACCTGGCCTGGGCTTGCTTGTTTTTTTTTTTAATAATGAAATTTTTGGCAAATCTAAAAGCCCTTTCACACTAAAAGTGAAATGAATAAGCCTCAGGCTGAAGGAAATGCAAATTAAACAGACTAAACAGACACACGCTTGAGGAGGCCATTATAAGTCCACAAGTCTGCAAGTGCACATGAAGGGTGCCATTTGGGACAGGGCCAACGCCTCTGCACTTACTCCCGATTTCTCTCAACATGGGGACAGGAGAGCTGTCAGTCAATAAATGGAAAAACAAAGTAACTTTCGTTACTTATTTGAAAAAGTAACTGATATTTTGTTGTGAATTTAAAAGTAATGCATTGCTTTAATAGTTACTTGAAAAAAGTAATCTGATTACTTATCTCATGTTACTTGTAATCCATTACCGCCAACACTGCTTGTTTTAAAATTTTAATAAAAAAAAAAAAAGGATAAATATGAGTGCATAAGAATGCACAAGATGGTTTAGCTGATCTCTCTGCCTGGCCCAGCTGAAAAAATTTAAATAACAATTTAAATATATTTTAATATATATTTTACATCTACTTCATTCCTGTGATCAAAGCTGAATTTTCAGCATAATTACTCCAGTCTCCAGTGTCACATGATCCTTCAGAAATCATTCTAATATGCTGATTTGCTGCTCAAGAAAAATTTCGGATTATTATCAACGTTGAAAACAGTTGTGCTGCTTCATACTGTATCTTTGATAGAAGTTTCAAAAGAACAGCATTTTTTAATGGAAATTATTTTTTACATTATAAAATGTATTTACTATCACTTTTAGAAGTATATATTTATGAAAAGTTTGTAAAGGAGTATATCACAGCTGTATTGGTAAGAAATTCTCCTCTGCTCCTCTAGTGGTCCCACAGTCCTCTGGCTCCTATTGTTGGGCCATTTATAGGGGGATGGTAAATATAGCCTGTATAAATATCCCCAGTTTTGGCCTCCACAAGAGTGGAGTTTCCCTGATACTCTCTCCCACAGCTCCCTTCATGTCTGACACAAACAGGACAAATAAGAACCATCTGCTGCTGCCGGTCCCCCGCCCAGAAACACCAGCAGAATACATTACACACACACATGAATGTGTGCACTGCGCTTAACCTAGTCTGACTCAGGAACTCCAGCAGAACTAAGCAAACTGAGCTTTCTGAGTGCAGGGGCGAAGCGTTGAAGAAGAATTAGGCAGAGGCTGATGGGTTGAGAAAATGACTTGAAAAACAATTTCAATTTGACATAAAAGTCCTAAAACAAGTCTTTTTTCTTCAGACTTGCTATGGATAGGTGACTCTCAAAAACAAACAAACGTACACTTCCAGGTTATATTTAACCCTTAAACTTAAATAATAACTTTAATTATAACTTTAAACTTTAATAAAATATATTGTGCATAAAGAAATTCCTGTTTTAGAGACATTTTGACATTTTTCTGACAAGTAAGTATACTCAATTTTCCACCCAAATTCTCATCTCTGTAACACTGAATGTTTAACTTTTGAATTTTCTTTGTAATTCTCGTTATTCTCAATAGGGATTCTCATTTTTGTAATTGTAATTTTGCAAAAAAAAAAAAAAAAAAGTCCTAAAACAGGCTACAGTTTCTATTAAAAATATAATTGTTTACACCTGGTCTTTTAAATTAGCTGTGAAATTCAAATGTGACCCGGACAAGTTTTTGCCAGGTTTTGTGAGATTCACTTAAAAACACAATGGTGTTTTGGACATGTACTGTATGGTAGTACCATGATATTCTTTCAAGTACACTATACCGTTCAATTGTTTTGTGTAAGATTTTTATTATTTTATTCTGCAAGGATGCATTTAATTGATCAAAAGCGACAGTAACAACATTTATAATGTTATACAATATTTTAAATGCTGTTATTTTAAACTTTCTATTATTCAAAAAATCCTGAAAAAGAATATATAACAGTTTCCACACAAATTATTAAGCAAACTGGTTTCAACATTGATAATAATCAATCTTGAAATGTTTCTTGAGCAGCAAATCATCATATTAGAGTGATTTCTGAAGGATCATGTGACACTGAATACTGGAGTAATGATGCTGAAAATTCAGCTTTGATTACAGGAATACATTACATTTTAAAATATATTTACATAGAAAACAAGTTATTTTAAATTGTAATAATATTTCACAATATTACTGTTTTTACTGTATTTTTGAGCCTGGTGTTGGTGAGCAAAAGGAACTTCTTTTAAAATATTGTAATATCTAACCGACCCCAAGCATTTGAAAAGTAGTTTACATTGCCGTATCATGTGCATACCAAGGTAAATGAATATGGTAATCATTTTAGTACCATGTGTATTATCCGTTCATGCCACCAAAGGGTTTGCATCAAACAGACACTGGCTTTTCATCATGTTTCCTTTGCTGAAAATAGTTCCAGGAATCCAGCTCAGCAGGTTGATTTGAACATCAGTAATTTACGATTATGAGCTACATTTCACATCTTAATGTAGACGTAACCTCTCTCTGAAGCTGTGCTGAAAGAGCAACGCTTTCTAAAGGAGGAAGACGTCCTCTGGGACTCGCTGCACTGTGGGTCATCCGCAGACATCTGGTGCACATAAACTTGTAATTATTTTTAATGACGGAATCAAAGTGGAGGAGCATCACAAAACAAAACAGAGCTCGAATTTAATAACAGGGGCAAAAAGCTGAAGAGCAGGAATGATTGACAAAACTGGCTTCTTAAAACAACTCAGAACAGCTCAGTTTATTGGGCCTTAATTAAAGGTACAATATGTAAGAATTTTGCAATAAAATAAATATCCAAAAATCACTTGCACAGTGTGATGTATTTCCTGCAGTTGTGTACTTACAATATCCCAAAAGTCTCCAAAGATTTTTTATTTCGGAGAAATTTCAATTTTAAATAAGTGGCCGACCCGGAAAAAATGTCGCCTGTCAATGACGCATAGCCATGACGTAACCATGGCGACAGACGTGGACAACTGCGTAGTGCGTAACGTTTAGCGCCATGCAGTTCTTGTTTCTTTCAAACATAGACCATGGCAAGCAGACTTTGGGACAAACAAGGAGAACTAAAATGAGGATCAATATCAGCGTGGCGTTTTTGAGATGCCGAGAGCTAGCGTCCGCGACTAACTTGGAGTTGACAGAGCTTCACGAGTCACGACTTGACAGGTTTATTAGACAGGTGAGCAAATGTACATAAAACAAATCAATGTTATATAACGTTCGCTCAACATGATAAAATGTTAGAATATGGTCAGTATGTTATTCTAATGTTGATCTAGCTTACTGCTAGTTTCGTATAGCAAACGAACTAACACGTAGTATAACATTATAACTTTCAACACACATTTAAATGCCGTTTAGTGTGATAGTGTAACGTTAGACCAAGTGAAGCAGCGCTGCGTTACCTCACAAGTTTAATTCGTCTAATAAACTGACCTGTGTGAGTAATCCAGCACTTACGGGTAGTTCGGTAGAATTAAATGTCCTTATTCATTTATATCCGCGGGACTCGCGTGTGATATCTGTCTCTTTAGCAATCGCGACCTGCTTCATACCACTGTAATGTTAAAGAACATGAATGTTTGCACTCATCCATAAACATTATTAGATCCATCAGCTTGACAGCAAGTCCCATCATTCAGCTCATCACTGCGTCATCAACCTACGCCTTTGTTATTGTTGGAAACTGCGCCCTCTTGTGGCGAAAAAATCGCACATATTGTGCCTTTAATCCATATATATTTGAGATATTTTATACTTTATGGCTTATTGTTTGTTTTACAAAAAAGTTACCTCGTCTGACTCAGGAAATTCAGAAGAACTGATGCAGGGCACTTTACTGCGAACAATGGTTCCCATTCAGTTAGTCACGTTCGACGTTACGTTGAACTGACGTCATGGGGTCTCTCCTGGAAGCCAAATCACCTCCAAGTGGCAACAAAACGAGCCAATGGACATTAGCCAGTGAGATTTGCATGCTGGGTCACATCTACCCATATACACCTATGGGGTTTAAATATGTTCGGCATTACTCAATTTATTCATTTTATTTGCTTCAGAGCCAAGCCGTTGTGAATAGCGATCACTCATTCCAGTCACTCCAGTGAAGTGGATTCTCGTGCAGAGAAACAGCAATTTTAATTGTTAAAAAGAGCTTATTTCTGAGGAGATCTCTCCTGCCGGTGTGAGGGCGCACACAGTGGTGATTCGCATCCTAAAAAGGGCTGTGCACAGATAAGTGGAGCATTTCACCCCTCTGTGCTTTGGCGCGTAAGAGCAGATTTCCTAAAAGAGCAAGCACGCCTCTTCATGTTAGATCATTAGCCTCTCCGTCCGTGCATTCCTGGATGCAGTCGTTTCCTGTACTCATCTGACGGACACAATCGCTGTCTTACATGCCTAGCATGCTGAGACGGCATTCATGGGTGGTTCATGTTCTCACATGGCAACATGACCAAGTCGGCACGTGAGTCATGACTCTCCTTTCTCGTAAAGGCTTGAGTCCCTTTTGTTGTTGCCCAGCCGCCGCTTGTGTGTAAAAGCACAGCCGCGGGTCTGCTCAACACTTTGGGAGACTGAGGGTTACAGCGAGAGCTTTCCGGCGGGAAAACCCCCCGCGGACTGGATGATTGGTTTCGGGAATCGGAGCGCGACGCGAAGATCACCCTGCCCCAACCCTGTGCCTTTCTTCCTGGAAGTGCATGAAGAGCTTTGGTAGTATGGAGGTACATTAGTGCACATTCAAAGTTTTTCCTCTCTCACTACCCTCAACTGTGGGGCGGTCAGGGGGTTCCCCAGGTGGAATTTGCAATTGAGATGCATTTATGGCTGCAAAGTGTCGCCACCTGGAGCTCTGGCACAGCGCCGCTGGACAGACTGTCTCCGCCTTGGATACAATGGCCATCCTGCATACCAAAGTGCTCAATGCACAAGGGTAGTTCTGAGCCGGGGTTGATGCAGGACATGTGCACAGTGACTGACCTCGCCGACGGAAATCCCGGCGTGGGCCTTCTGTGTCCACCTTGGTGGTCCGGGAACGCCATCTCTTGTTAAACCTTGCAGAGATGCGAGATGGCCATTGCCCTCTAACTGAGAGATACAAGCGTTCCCCACTTGGTGAATCCTGAGTCGAGTTCATCCAGCATCCTTTCGGCAGAGGGACACGCTTCCCCAGTGTTAACAACACTGGTCATGGCTGGAAAACAATGGGAATTGAGATCCGAAGCACTCTTCCCCGTGAAATGTCACGATAAAGAACAGCAGCTACGACCGTCCACACGGTAAGTCCTGTCCCTTCCATCCAATTTTTTAAGGAGGACTTCGCCTCAGGCTTACTTGGGGAGCTGGGTAGGTTACGACATCGTGAGAGTAGTTGCCAAAATAGCACGCAGCAGCTTGCCAGCATCTGCATCTCCAACACTCGTAACACAGTTCAGTGGCTATGGCGCTTTCCATAGGGACCCCATGACGTCAGTCCAACGTAACGTTGAACTGACTGACTGAATGGGAACGTCTAGGTTTCTAATGTAAACCCTGTTCACTAAAGGAGGGAACAGAGATGTTACATCCCCCCTGCAACAGCCTTGAACCACTGCTGAATAGCCGCCGGGATCCCGGTCTCAGCTCCTCAGCAAAACATGAATGAAGTGAGTAATGGCGGTCATATTTATACCCTTATGTCCGTATGTACGGGTAGGTGTGACCCGGCATGCAAATCTCACTGGCTAATGTCCATTGGCTCGTTTTGTTACCACTTAGAGGTGATTGGGCTCCCAGGCGAGACCTCATGACGTCAGTCCGACGTTTCTCAGTGTTGAAAAATAATTAGTTGTGTGTGATTGGTCGAAAAAAATTACTTGAAAAGCAATTTAAATTTTACATGAGAGTTTAAATGCATCTTTCTAGAAATGATGACTGATGCTTTTCAGGTGAACTGCTCTTGAATGTCTTATTATAAAGTTAAATGCCGACTCATGTGGTTCAGCTTCTTAATGGTTAGCGGCATTGGGCCAGATGTTTTACGTTTATTGCGATGATGGATATTTTCTCAAGCCCCCTTCAGACAGCACGATGACGATCGATATCAAATCTCAGTGATGAATGTTCCTTTCAAAGGACCATTTTCTATTTTCTGCTACCAATTTCGAGCTAGCATTTTCCCTGGGGACATTCTCTTGGAAACTGCATTTCCCATCTTCCTTCTCGTATACCCACAATTCAGTGCTTTAATGGAATGAGACAATGTTTTGTGCCAGTTGTCATTAATTTTAAAGGAACAATTCACCTAAAAATTAAACAAAATAGTCATATGGAGTCATTTTTATGATACTTTTATGCTTATTTTTCATTTTTTTATGTGGTCACTATGAAATGATGTGATTTTTCAAAATGTTTCCGTCTGTGGTCCACTGAAAAAGAACTAAGAGTACAGTTTTGGAACGACATGAAGGTGAACGGGAAAAAAAGAATTACTAGCCCTAATAACTAACTAGGCCTTTTTGTAGTTTTATGGCCTGGCAACCTTTCTCTTTTTAAAACTAGGCTACTTTTCTCTCATTCTTTTGAATATTAAATCAGTAATAATGTTATGATCATTTGTCAGCTTACTGTCACTACAAATTTACTATCAATTTCAGAGTAAAAATTGTTTCAAAGGAAATCCTACAGCAATGTTTTGCTCATTGTCTCACCTGTCCGCTGCAGCATGTGTGTTGATGATGAGGATGATGCTGCTGCTGATGAAGAATGTGTGAAGTGCGAGGCCGATGGGTTGACGCTGTCGCTGCTGTCTCCGCTCTCAGTGCTCGATATCTCCTCCTCCTCCGACTCCCTCAGGGAAGAGCAGGGCGACGCTCCCTCCACCTCCTCAAACTTTCTCTTCAGAATCCCACTCATGGCTGCCGTCAGGCTGCACGAGACAAGAGAGAGTTCCTCAAGTAAAAATCACATTTATTTTCTCCATTGGAAAATGGATGTTTAACATTTGAATGATATATTGAGATATTTTAGTGATAACTGCATTTTAATGATGCATGCTACTGGAGGAGCAACAATTCAGTGTGATTTCAACTACACTTCAAGAAAAAGAGGCACTGATTAAATCGCTGTTACCATGTCAATGTAAATGACTGTCCACTCCCATAAACCATTGCAAATTCTCCCCAAATTCCCCTATTTTTATCTATATTATATATACATCAGTGCTGTCAAATTGATGAATCGTGATAAATTGAACTTACATATATATATATATTTTTAATATGTTTGTGTATATATATACATTCACCTAAAGGATTATTAGGAACACCATACTAATACTGTGTTTGACCCCCTTTCGCCTTCAGAACTGCCTTAATTCTACGTGGCATTGATTCAACAAGGTGCTGAAAGCATTCTTTAGAAATGTTGGCCCATATTGATAGGATAGCATCTTGCAGTTGATGGAGATTTGTGGGATGCACATCCAGGGCACAAAGCTCCCGTTCCACCACATCCCAAAGATGCTCTATTGGGTTGAGATCTGGGGACTGTGGGGGCCATTTTAGTACAGTGAACTCATTGCCATGTTCAAGAAACTAATTTGAAATGATTCGAGCTTTGTGACATGCATTATCCTGCTGGAAGTAGCCATCAGAGGATGGGTACATGGTGGCCATAAAGGGATGGACATGGTCAGAAAGAATGCTCAGGTAGGCCGTGGCATTTAAACGATGCCCAATTGGCACTAAGGGGCCTAAAGTGTGCCAAGAAAACATGAAAACATCCCCCACACCATTACACCACCACCACCAGCCTGCACAGTGGTAACAAGGCATGATGGATCCATGTTCTCATTCTGTTTACACCAAATTCTGACTCTAACATCTGAATGTCTCAACAGAAATCAAGACTCATCAGACCAGGCAACATTTTTCCAGTCTTCAACTGTCCAATTTTGGTGAGATCTTGCAAATTGTAGCCTCTTTTTCCTATTTGTAGTGGAGATGAGTGGTACCCGGTGGGGTCTTCTGCTGTTGTAGCCCATCCGCCTCAAGGTTGTGCGTGTTGTGGCTTCACAAATGCTTTGCTGCATACCTCGGTTGTAACGAGTGGTTATTTCAGTCAAAGTTGCTCTTCTATCAGCTTGAATCAGTCGGCCCATTCTCCTCTGACCTCTAGCATCAACAAGGCATTTTCGCCCACAGGACTGCCGCATACTGGATGTTTTTCCCTTTTCACACCATTCTTTGTAAACCCTAGAAATGGTTGTGCGTGAAAATCCCAGTAACTGAGCAGATTGTGAAATACTCAGACCGGCCCGTCTGGCACCAACAACCATGCCTTGCTCAAAATTGCTTAAATCACCTTTCTTTCCCATTCTGACATTCAGTTTGGAGTTCAGGAGATTGTCTTGACCAGGACCACACCCCTAAATGCATTGAAGCAACTGCCATGTGATTGGTTGATTAGATAATTGCATTAATGAGAAATTGAACAGGCGTTCGTGTTCCTAATAATCCTTTAGGTGAGTGTATATATATATATATGGGGATGATTAGGAGGACATGATGGAGAGAGGCCACTGAAATTTGGCCAGGATGCCGTGGTTACACCCCTCTTTCGAAAGACATCCTGAGATCTTTTGTGACCACAGAGAGTCAGGGCCTCGGTTTAACGTCTCATCCGAAGGACGGTGCTCTTTGACAGTATAGTGTCCCCGTCACTATACTGGGGCGTTAGGACCCATACAGGCCACAGGGTGAGCGCCCCCTACTGACCTCACTAACACCTCTTCCAGCAGCAACCTGATCTTCTCAGGAGTCTCCCATCCAGGTACTGACCAGGCTCAACCCTGCTTAGCTTCAGTGGGGGTACAGGGTGATATGGCTGCTGGCGCTATATATATATATATATATATATATATATATATATATATATATATATATATATATAATTACACTTACTATATTATTTTAACTATGCATTTAACAGAATATTTTATCCAAAGCAAAATCACTGGATATGCATGTATTATTTTAGTTTAATGAATGGCATAAGTAATATTGTATCATCATTTCTGACTCAATTCCATCATTCACTATATGCTTCACAGGATAAGCATTCCCTCATGAAAGACTTTTTCCTATTTTCAAACACTTTTTTTTTTTTTTTTTGCTTTAAACAAAACTTATAAACTTTCAAATGTAATTCGTCTCAAAACCCAGGCCACTGGAAAAGTGGTCAGCTGCTGTTGCTCTATAAAGCTTCCATTTGCTCTGATCCTCAAAGCACTCAATTAGTGATAAGCGGTAGAACACACATCCTCCTCTCCTCCTCGCTGCCATTGATCACCAGGCCTCACAGGACCACAGATGGAAAAAATACTAATTGAATTCTACCTCAACCTTCCAGGAAGTCACTTTTGTCTGTGTTTGATAGAGTGTCTTCAGGAAAGAAAACAAACTGGAAACTTGAGATGAGTTTTTTTGAGAATTGCACTCATAAACTAGCTTCAGGAATTTATTAATCATAGTACAAGGACGCAGCATGACTGAAAATGAAAAGAAATGAGACTCAAAGGCTCAATGCGGCTTGGAAAGACATGTTCGGTAGACGGCTGTAAAAAAAAAGTTGGATCTTCAGATTTTTTTTTTTTTAGTTTTTTTTTTTTACAAAAATCACTCCTTTTTAAAATGAAGTGAAGTACCCAAGAGAAACTGAATCATTCCACTTAAAATGAGCCTGAAGGATGTTTATGGTTGCCAAGCGACATGATGCATAAATATAGAATGTGCGTCACATGTGTGTGTTTAGATGTGATCTTGTGAAACACAATAGCAAACATGTAGCAATGCCGGGGGAACCAACCCCAACATGGTGGGGTGATGGTGATGGTGATGGTGAGTTTTGCACAGGTACGGCAAGTACCAGTTTCACTTTCTCCAGAAAATGTACTGTAGATTTCTGCTCTTGCCTGTAATAAACCTGTTCTTGTTTAACCTGTTGGATTGGACAGATTTCACACAGATTTCCTAAACCTGCAGTAGCAGCAGCTGCACATCCTGACAGTATCTTTTCCCTCTCGTCTTCTGCTTATTTCTGCAGCTACAATTGAGCCAGAAATGAGAAGAGTGAAACACATACGCACACACACACACACGCAGAAGAGAGAGGACGACTGGCTGGCAGCCTCATTACTGAAGGAGGGAGTGTGTTGTTTCACACTGCAAGTCTCACAGAGCCATCGTGTGTGTCTGAAGCCCCAGCAGAGCGGCTGATGAACTGGGATTTTAGAGGTACAGGAACACTAAAATCTGGGGTGTGTTTTATGCCCTTCCTTCGCTAACTTCCCATCCGTTCGCTCGAATGTATGTCATTGCTTATGTTGCACGAGATGTGTTTAAATGTGATGTGTTTAAATGAAAAGCTGATTTATTATGTACAATTTTTTTCCTTATAAATTTGTTTTGTTCACCATAGGCCTGTATGCTTGGGTTGTTGGAGAAAATATAAAAAATTACACAAATACAAATGATAGTACAATAACTTATAACAGTCAAAATGTCATGGGTAAATGTCAAAATAACTCCAATATCATATACTAAAGTTGTGTTTCTGAAAGTCTCTAATGCTAATATTGTGAAATATTATTACAATTTTAACTAACTCTGTTCTATTTGAATATATTTTGAAATGTAATATATTCCTGTGATCAAAGCTGAATTTTCAGCATCATTACTCCAGTCTTCAGTGTCACATGATCCTTCAGAAATCATTCTAATATGCTGATCTGCTGCTCAAGAAAACAAAAAATCTTATTATTATCAATGTTGTGTGTTTGATACCAACTGTTATAATCAAACAGTTGTGCTGCTTAATATTTTCATGAAAAAATAAAAAAATATTTATTTTATGATTAGAAAGTTCAAAAGAACAGCATTTATTTGACATAGAAATCTTTTGTAACATTAAAAACGGCTTTTTATTGGCATTATGGAACCTTTTCAATGCAAAAAAATACTCAGAATGGCTGTGAAACCCCACTTTTGGAACCTTTGGTTTTAAGAAGGACTTTTCACACTTGAAATAGTTAACCCCGGGTTATTCTAAACCCCGGGTAAACGTAATTTAAATCAAGATTACCCAGGATTCCAAGTGTGAAATGGGGTTAAAAGCGGTGTTTAGAAGGACAACAACCCAGGGTTAGGCACAGTGTGAGACCATCTATATCAAATTTTACATCATAAAGCAATTGTGCTGTATTTCTAATCCAGTACTGAATAGAAAACCCAATAAAATTCCTTTGGGTTCAGAAAGGGTCGCAATCTTGGATGACACCGGAACGCTGTTCCAGCTCGTTCCGGCCCAGTTTAACCCCTGGGCAAGACCAGCCTCGGCCCGCGGGCTCCATGGGTCTCAGCTGAGGCCTATTGTTCCTCTCTCTGTGTGTGTGTGTGTGTGTGTGGGGAAGACAGCAGCTGGAGAGCCTCCAAACCACAGCAGCGCTGCGGAATGTGTCTCCCTCCCTTAAGGACAGAACACGGCTCTGTTCTCCACAGACCAACTCTGAACCTCTGGAGCAACAGAATCCTCTGAAAACTCAGTATGTACTACAAGGCTACATGCTAGGTTACCTTTAATGCCTGCTACAGACTGTGCGATTTCGGCAATCCTATAAGATCATTAAAAATCACACTGTAACATGGATCTTATAAACTTGGGTCCGACTTGTATGTAGGGCAGACTGTACGATGATGACACCCATTGAGCGTAGGCTACGACTCAAGTTAGTATAGAAGAATGAAACGTCATCAGCATCGGCTAGTGGTAAACAAATAGAGCAAGATGAAACGCTCTTTGGCATTTGAGGTTTTAATATGCGCTGAAAAAAAAGAGGAACCGAAAGAGGAGAAAATGGACGTGGTCATGGCTAGGGAAAAGAGGCCAACTTGGCATGTCAATTTGGTAAATGGAGCTTGAGGAAAGTAGTTTTAAGTTTTAGCGCCATGTCGCGTTGATCAATACACCATTTCATGTTGCATTTTAATTGGCTAGTCAGTAGATGTAGGTCATAGTAGCAAACACACAATGAGACGATCATGCTAACTGCTAAATTTCTGACACTATCTTTGGTTGCAAGACCGTCTTTGTAAGACCACCGTTTAGGAGCCGCAACCACAGAAATCCCCACGATTGGTCATCTTTTGTCTGGGACAGCCCCAAATCATACAATATGCATAAAGCAGCATCTCAGTAGTCGTCTTCAAACTATTTGATTCTGATAGGCAATGTTCCCACCAGGGTTATTATTAAATTAACAAAATTATAAACAAATGTGTTAGTTGAAATACAATAAGTGTAAAAAAAAAAAATATATATATATATAAAAAGGAAAACATCTTTTTAAAAACATCTTTTTTTTATTTATTTTAACTTGATGTACTAAAATATCTAAAACTGAAATAAAATTATTATAATATATAAATAATAAACTTTTTTTAAAATGACAAAAACACTCAACAAAATTACTAAAAAACGTAAACTGAAAATGTAAAAATAAAAACATTTCAAAACATTAATAAAACAATAACAGTATCTCAATGATACTAAAACAACACTGGTTCCCTTCCCACACTTTTTGACCAATCAATTATCATGACCTTTTCATGACCTTTCTAGTCATTTGTGATGGCTGGATAAGAATTGTAAAGAAATCATCTGGACTGATGTCCATTTGTATAACAGGTACCGATTTTGAATGAATTTAAGTTATTTATTATTGCACATGTGAAATGCATGTGTGACTAATGCTCAACTAAACCAATGTATTAAACTTTACTGCATAATTCGTCACACATCATTTGTGAAACAGACATGATCCGTTACTCAGTTCCACTATTAGGCCCTGTCCGACGCCCCTGAAAAGGTGTGTAATTACTTTTTTTTTAAGCGGACCACACTTTGGTCCACTTAGCGTTCACATTGGCATTTTTACACTGAATCTAAAGGCACAGGGCACAATGTTCACATTGGTCGGCTTTTATAATGTATATTTTGTGACGAAACTTACCGAACATCCAAAACAATGCTGTGTTCTGGGCTAAATGCGCTTGTTGTATGCGTGTAATCTATGATGGTATTTTGACCAGCTGAGAACTTGTGAAGAGCTTATGAAATGTGTAAAGGAGTCAAAAATACAGCGACAGGAATCCCTCCGTCACACACACAAACCAAGATCTGCAGTGAGGAGACGCGGTTCTGATGCCTGAACTGAACTGTGATGAGCAACATCGAGACAATGACGAGAAAGAAGCATTCTGTCCTGTTTAGGGTCTCATCCTATGACATCATGTCCTGTTTTTGGTTCGTTTACATGTCTTTGGTCTGTGTTGCGTTCATATGTCAAACCGCATCAGAGTCCGTTTGGAAGCTGAGCGAGACCCATCTTTTCAGGGTTCGGATGGCCGCGTTCACACAATGAACCGCACTAACAGAGCAATCGCACCAGGGTTTGTTTCAATCCAACCAAACGTGCCAAGTGTGAACACACTCTTAGTCAATCAGATTTAGCATTTTTGTCTGGTGGGCGATTAAATAGCGGGTTGCACGTGCATTCATTGAGATGTATAAGATTGCTAACTGTTATTTTTCTCCAGGTATTACAGATTTTCCCTGCTTTCAAGATCTGGATCGTATCGAAAGCACCAAAAAAATCCCTTGATCTAAGCCCCGGATCTGTTTGAATCCCGCTGTTTCCCGCAGCGGTCCGGCCAGATGCAAGAGGCTCGCAATAATTGGAAATGGCTTCTCTAGTTTTGGAGACACAATGTAAGTCAATTTTCTCGTAATCATCATAATTAGTTCCCCTTGTTGAAAATCCATTCGCATTCTCCATCCTCAGCGGATGCCGCGCTGCTCTGCAATACCCCAAAACGGTTACCATGGAGATGCTAATACACTTGCACAAATAGTGAATTTCACATTTGAGAGTCGTTCTGTTTTTTGTTTTTTTCATTTCATCTACAGCACACACACACACACACACTCAAGATCTGAAAATAAACGCTCATGCAACGCCTCCTCCGTAATCAGAGGGAACTCATTGATGAAATAACTGTGAAACTGTGAAGAAAATCATTCGGGTCTGCACTTTCGCTGCAAAATTTCATCATGTTATTATTCTGTTTTCTTGCAGAAGATGCTACTTGCAGCTTTCAAACGGTGGATGTTGAAGATCCTGCGACTACAGGGAGAGGAGAAACTTTTCCCATTTCTTGACACAATGAATGGGCATGACATCTCCAGCTAACCCGAGGTAACAGGAGCTGACTCTGTCTGTACTAGAGATACGGACTCTAACACACACAGCTAGTTATTTCTCCTCTACTACATCTCTAGCTCTGCCTCTCTCTCTCCCTTTGTCTTCTCTTGCTGTAGTTTTCCACAGAACCCTTGCAGTATGTTACAAGTGAAAATCCTGCAGCAAAAAAAACAGAAGACACAAAACAGCCACTCCCCGGACGAGCTCTGTTCAACACGGACACACACATGTACAAATATACATGTACTTTAGCATTGCCAATGCAGCACTGACAACCTATAGAGATCAATACTTCTTGGCAGCGGAGGCTGAGCGCTATGAGGAGCCCTATAGAGGGCTGGGCAGCACGACCACAATCTTATATCACCATTTTTAATATAAGTTTTACATCAGGCTAACTGTATATCACAATAGTTATTTTTGCTGCTCACTCATTGGAAAATTGGTTTTATTATATATTAATACTGAAATACATTTCAGGATTTCTACCTATTTCAGGATTTTATAAAAGTTTATATATTAATACAATGATACATATTTTGAGAAAAATGATATTAAGCATATTTAATTAATCTATAAAAAAGGTAATATGTATTTTTGGTAAAATATATTTTGGGATAATCTACATTAAATTAATCTATAAAAAAAGGGTTTTATATAGGCTATTAATACAATCATGTGGTCATACATATTTTGGGATCATTTATCTTGTATATATTTAATTAGTGCTTCGAAATGTTTATATATTAATACAATAATACATATTTTGAGAGAATCTATATTTAGTATATTTATTTAATCTATATAAAAGGTGATATATTTTTGGTAAAACATATTTTGGGATAATCTATATTTAATTAATCTATAAAAAGGGTTTTATATATTTACATACTTGGTGATGTATATTTTGGGGTAATTTATATTTAATATATTTAATTAATACATAAAACGTATATATGTTAATACATTAATAGATATTTTGGGAAGTCTATATTTGGTATATATATTTAATCTATAAAAAAGGTAATATATTTTTGGTAAAACATCTTTTGGAATAATCTATATTTAATTAATCTATACAAAAATATTGGTATATTCATACAATTATGTGGTAGCTAACACCTATTGTGCAATAATATATATTTAATTAATCCATAACAAATTTATATATTAATACAATCATGTGGTAATACATATTTTTGGGAAGATTTATATTTCATATAATGAATTAATTAATCAATCTAAAAAAAGGTTTATATATTATATAAAAAAGTATTATATATATATATATATATATATATATATATATATGGTAAATTTGTGATAAATATAAAATATATAAATATGTGTGTGAGTGTTTCAATATTTTTTATTATATAAATTTGATAAAAAAAGTTCTGAGGTACACCTGTGAAACGCATCAATCGATTTTTATATTAATGCAGCGAGTTGCAATGTTGCTTAGCAACTGTAAACAGTTAACTTGACAACAAGTTCATCATCTCGACTAGTCTGGGACACAAATCTACCTGGCTATTAATGCAAAATCTCTACCAGTTGACACATTTCTACGGCGACTCAGCCAGCGCTTCCCCCGACACACTGCAGGTCAGGCGAGCGCTCGCGGAAGCTGACCTCAGATTTCCCATCAGGCCAGGCGTGACACATCAGAACAGAAACAGGGCACGAGTCATGCTTTCGCTTCGAAATGCACCAACCTGCGTCCACCGGCGTGTTACTCTCCTCCCTCTCCCCACGACACTTCTCTCAGAGGAGCCTTTCAGAGCCAGATGAGATGTGCTGAAAGATGGCCCTCCATTTCACTCGAACGACAGAGGAGACCGGGGCGAGAGAGGTAAAGCAGAGGTGCACTCCCGGTCTCCACTGCTGTCTAAAACAGACCGAAGACTCGCTCTCATTCGCTCCAAACACACAAAGACTCATTAGCTGAGGACTGGAGACTGTGCACAGCGACGCCTGCCTGCCTGAGAGATCACATGGGTGGAAGAGAGAGAGAGAGAGAGAGAGAGAGAGAGAGAGAGAGAGAGAGAGAGAGAGAGAGAGAGAGAGAGAGAGAGAGAGAGAGAGAGAGAGAGAGAGAGAGAGAGAGAGAGAGAGAGAGAGAGAGAGAGAGAGAGAGAGAGAGAGAGAGAGAGAGAGAGAGAGAGAGAGAGAGAGAGAGAGAGCGAGCGAGCGAGCTGTGCCTGTGTGTTCCTGCTGTCTGCAGATATTTTTACCATCATGAGAGGGAGGGAGAGAGGGAAAACAGACAGCGGAGAGACAGTCGATAGCCGGCACAGCACCATAATCTGTAGAGGTGAGCGAGGGCACCCACAAATGAGCCAGAAACAGTAATAGAAACAGTCAAACGCACACGCTTGGGCTCACTGGGATTTGTGCTAATGAACTTGTGCTGCACTTGTGCTTCATAAATACTCCGTTCAAGGCGGGTGTTGAGACTCACAAGCAATCTCACATACAAACACACTAAACGTTACAGCTGGATGGTAACCAAATGTGATTTTAAAATGTTTATAAATGATGTTTAAAATGATGTAAAGCTGTATTTTCAGCATCATTAATACTCCAGTCTTCAGTGTCACATGATCCTTCAGAACAAATCATTCTAATATGCTGATTTGCTGCTCAAGAAACATTTCGTATTATTATCAATGTTGAAAAAAGTTGTGCTGCTTCATATATTTGTGGAAACCTGTGGCTTTGAATGTGTTCACTTTAGAATAGGAACTATCTGTTAGAATAATTAAATCAGATGAAGTATGTTTTAATTGATTTACTGGATTATCCACAAACAGGGATCGCCACGTGATTAATATTTAAACTATTTCCCATAGAATTTCAGACAAAAAACATCATCTATGATGTTGTGAGATATAATTATGAGTATAATAACTCATGGAGTCGTATACGATTTTGCTCATTAAATTAAACAATATAAGCACAAAGTCTAATATTCATGGAATGAAAAAAGAAAAAGAAAAAAATGTCTAATATTCAAGGGATGATTTTACTGGTGATTTAAATTATGTAATATTGAGGATATCATGATGTTTTTTTTTAATTCAGCCATGAAGTTTTGACTAACTCTCTGAAACTTTCTTGTCCGATGACTTTAAAAAAATAATTTTAATAGCTTCTCTGATTTAAACGTCAGTAGCAAAAACAGTGTTAGAGCTGGTATGTTTGATTCATTTTTCTGTATCATTTCAATGAATCGATTCTCAACTCTGATTCAGTGATTCATTTGTGCCATCACAGAATGTTCACAGACATCCTTGTGTGGCATTTTACATATATATATATATATATATATATATATATATATATATATATATACTTTTTTTAGTAAACAATATATGCAACATTATTAATTTATACTAATAAATATTCATACTATTGATTTATTTACTTTTAATTATTCATTTATTTATATCGGTAGTCCATATTGATGAAAATAATTAAATATCATTCTTTCCTGTGCATACATTTATGCATACATTTTTTATTCAGCTATGAAGTTTTGACTAATTCTGTGAAACTTTCTTGTCTGATAACTTTTCAAAATGAATTTTAATAGCCTCTTTAACTTCAGTAGCAAAAACAGTTTAAGAGCGGGAATGTTTGATTCATTTATCTGAATCGGTTCAATGAATCGGTTCCCAACTCTGATTAAGTGATTCATTTGTTCACCAAAATCCTTGTGTGGCATTTTTCATATATTAAAATGTTTTTGTAAACATTATTAATTTATACGATTAAATATTCATATTATTTATTTACTTTTTATCATTTATTTACATCGGTCCGTATAAATGAAAAAGATTCAATATAATTCTTTCTTGTGTTCATTTATTGCAAAACAAGTATTTGTATTGTATTTTACAAATAATCTACTTGAGAACAATAGCTGTTTGGTTGAAGTTCTTCTGAATGAATAATTTTAGTTATCTCTGGAGATACATACATTTCTTGAACATCATCATCAAACATGGCAGTATAATCGATATAGCTGCATCACCCAGCCCTCCACGTGATCAGTAAATAAAGCAGATATTTGGATTAAGAGTGCACTTAAATTAGTCTTGAAAGCTCCTGGGAGTAGAGCATTAATGTCAACATTACAGTTCTTGCTTCAGGAAATCCTTCCACTCGATGGCACATAAACGGCACAGAAAAACAAACAGAGTGTGTGGTCTTCCAGCTATTAGAGCCCGAATAAATGCTGTGCCAAAACACTTTGATTATTGCTTGCAGCGTTGTGTGACGGCCACTGCAGTAAGAGCGGTGCGGGACGACTTGTCCTCTGCTCACCGAGGCGTTCGGACCTCCTGTAATTATGACAAAATCTCTGCTTATTAGACTCTCTCAACTAATAAGTAAAGTCCAGCAATTAAAAATGTGGCAACCAGTATGTAGCTATGTCAATATACCGCTCTGCAACCGAAAGGATAATTCCTTCTCTAATTATTCATTTTCAGCCCATCTAATTCCTGCCAATTATACTGTATCCCCTTTTGCTTAAAACAAGGATAGACCTATTCAACAAATCCTTCAAATAAAAAATATTTAAGCACTGATCGCTCGTTTTTAAAGTGCTTAATCCCACCCATAACAGATTTCATAGTGTGTTTTAAACCATTTATGAGAGTTTTAGTGGAAAGGCAGCTGGCTTCAGGAGGAAAATGCTTGTATGTGTGTTTTGGATTTAATAAAGGTTTAAATCGGAGCTCTGGCTGTGTTTCTGGACGCAGATGGATTTATCCTGGACCAGGTTTTCTTTTGGAAAACATCTTGAGGGACAGCATAGAGTCTCTATGTTATGGTCTGAATTGTGGAAAAGCAAACATTAAAAGCCTTTGTGACATGGGGAATTTTGCAGTATTACAGTAGCACACTATTGCTTCCTGCCTATCTACTGAAAATTACTCAATACGTTTCTTTCCATATAAAATGTTTATCCCGACTCGAATCTATGGCCTTGCGGGTCTGTGACCCATTAGAGAGCAGAACAGACAGTCATGAATGGCTCAGCACTTGATTTGACCAGAACAATCAAATTATTTCCTCTCGTTTCCTCTTTATCTTGGAATGCTGCCTATTGTATAACAGTCATATCTAATTTGCATTCCCTCTCTTTCTTATGGGATATCATACCAGGAGCTCCATTATGTAAAGATGCAAAACATATGACTGGCAGTCCACACACACACACACACACACACTCACACTGAGGCTCTGTTCCAAAACCTAGTGAGCTGCCTATGTGGGTTGCATTTTAAGTGCTTTTAACTTAAAAGTTGTTCTGAAAAGCATGATTATGTTGCATTTTAAGATATTTTCTTAAGCATGTGGGCTATCCACTGATCTCATGAAATGGCGTATGTATGACACGCCAATTCGTATTTCCATTTTTGGCGTGCTATCAACACGCATAATCGCTTTTCAGCGTGTTTATCGACGCCTTTGACTTAACGTTACATTACTGTATATAAATATATGACCTACCCAAACCCCGTCCCTAAACCTACCCGTCACTGGGGTTAATACTATTTATGAGTCTTTCCCTACCATCCTAGGAAAAAAAATATTGCTCCGCAGATGTAGATATGAATTTTGCTTCGTTTCGCTCGGACATTTAACGGCGTACACATACACGCGGAATCACTCGGACGTTTAACGGCGTAGACATACACGCAAAAGATGACGGTTCGTTTCGGCGTGGACATACACGCGGATAGCTCAAAATGCGTATAGATAACACGCCACTTGACTTGAAAGTGGCGTGTATGTTTACGCAAAGTCATGATGTCATGTTGGCTATCCTTTGTGCAGAAGTCAGTGAAGTCAGTAATGCATTTATCATTTAGTAATGCTAACTTAAAACTACATTCTATTGTCATACAGTATTTGTAAAA